GTGTGTGTGTGTGTGTGTGTGTGTGTGTGTGTGTGTGTGTAAGAAAGAGAGAGAGATACTGCAGAATTTTATTAAAATATACCAAAAATAATATAATTTTCATATTTTAAAAACAATATATAATATATTTAAATCTCTAATATTATGAATGATATTACGGATGATTTTAATTAAAAAAAAAGCGTGATGAAATTTCTGATAATTATACATATATATGTATGCATAAGATTTCTACATGTTTTCCATTTATAATATTTACTTTGGCTTTATATTTTTTTACTAATGTAAATGTGCGTGAAACATTGATTTTGGCTTTTAAACGTAATTAAATTCAGCTCTGTTTCAAATAACTACACTAAATATTCTATATAGCACACCTATTTTCAATTTCTTGTGCAAGGTATTATATAAAATAAAATCGCTTTGTTGTTCAATTAAATTAATAATAATGGATTAATAAATGCTGAACGTGTAATTCTATTGGTCAAAATTATAAATGAATTCTGTTTTGTCGCACCAACAGCGCACAATAAATTTTCGTAAATGATTTTCCGCCAACGAAAATTGAAAATTTTCGTGATAATTGCATATTTGTATTTCTCAATCATCAAAATCCTCAAAACAGCTCTGTATCTTATTCTATATGTATAAACTAAATATTTTTAATCAAAGCTTACATTCTATTCCTACTTATCATTGTTAATGTAATAAAGCGAAAAAATAGATAAACAAATATCGTCAATTAGATTATATCATAACTTAAAATTAAAATTGTACAACTTATAACTTATTTAAATATTAATGAAAATTAAGATTCTTAATAATTCTTAACATTTATAATTAACCTATTTTTTAATTTTTAAAATTTAATTCAGTATGTCTAAATAAAATTATTCATAATTTAAATCGAAAAATAAAATTTAAATAATAAAATTATTCACAAAATAACGAGAAAAAATATAATAATTTCTATTGAGCTCTTTAATAATCACGATAGAATACTTTTGATTGCGTCATCTTCATATTATTTGTTGTGTACTTTTGATTACGTCATCTTCATATTATTTGTTTCCTGATAAAACAGTGATATGCGGAAAGTGAGTTACATTTAGGTGAACATAACACCGAAGGTTCAACCGATTTCTCATGGCGGATTACACGTTAACGAGACACCATCGGATCTTATGCGGGATTGTATCTCACAATGAGATATTCGCTATTACAACGACGTCCGGGTGGTTGGAATAGACTCAACATCGTCTTTTGGGATTTCGTAGTGACGGCGATGGGCGGGGACGAACACGACGTTTACGATTTATCACTACTGACTGCGTATACCTTGCAAGAAATAGGCCGAAACGAAAAATGCAAACGAAGCGTGAATTTTATATGTTGGCTTCCACGACCATCAGGCGAAAATATCGTGCGCCAGAGCGGTTTAAATTTAAACACTTTTTTTTAATGGACCGCAGCGTTTAACGCTGAGAGTTACTAATTAATTTAATAACTATAAGCGATTCTGTTTGAAATTCGCTAAAAAACTTTTTCGCCACTCTTAACGTGATTGATATTTACCCCAAATATATTTCAGCCAAACACTATACGCAACATTTTATTGCAAAAATTCACGTATTAAATTATTAATTTATCAAAATTAATTAAACTAAACATTTATTTATTTAAAGTTAAATTAAGCTACTGATTTTAATATTTAACTAATTGAATATTTAATTTAATATATACTTTTTAACGGTATTTTTCTAACATCGCAGCAACAATACTTAAAGATAACACTAATTTACAAGAAAATGTTTTTTTTTTACTTTAAATTAGATATTGTGTTTCTTATAGGTTTTTAAATGCTGAAAATGATATCGCAAGTTAAATTTCATTAGCACATTAAGTGCTAAAAATTTTTTTTAATGATTGAAGTTTAATGTGCAAAAAAATGGCTTTTCTGTGTTATTTGATACTTTTTTTTTTTATAAAAAGAGTTAACATTGTCTTGAAATTATGACCAGAAATCATGAATGTATTGTTCCATCCACCGTATAAAATGTATTTTTTTTTTTAATATCTTACTTTTTAGTCACAAG